AGAGCGATAGGCAAAGAAAACGGCTTGATGCTTAATAAAAGGCTGGTGTGGCTGTCGGGATGGATGTGGGCAGCTTGTGAGGGCCTTTTCCTCCTTTGAGTGAGGGGGTTTGTTTGGATTCCTCCTGCTGGTTTGCACGCCCTTTTCAAGAGCTACGCAGGACTGCATGGGACCTTATAAGAAAGTACTGCTGTAGGCAGTACCAAGAGTACTGCTATGTTACCGTAGTAACACAGTGGTGTTTGGGATTGCTGCTTGCTTACCCACCTGGGCTTGCAAACAACTGGAGGAAACTGTTGTAGATTTGTATATACCAATGACTGGTGTCAGCTGAGAATATAGACATGGATTTGAATAGAAGGACAAATGAGTTTCTGTTTTCTTGAGGTGAGCCCATCCATAATCAGAGTGATGTCTGCTATGCTCATGTGCAACTGCCATCTGCTCCCTGTTGGAAAGATCTCAAGAGCTATATCCCCTGGGCTCAGAGCCCTTCTTCTGTTTGCTTGGCCCATTGCAGGCAAAGGGTACAAGAAATCGCTCAGGGGTCTGTAGAGAGCTACTGTTCAGGCTGTGAGCCGTGTACGACAGCACACAGGTCTGAGCATCTTTGGGATTGCACGTTGGGTGTCCATTCACAGCAATGGAAAGCAGTAGTACAGGAGGGCTCAGTTACAGCAGTGCCCTGGCTTTAGCACAAGCCAGACTCAGGCTGATGAAAGAGGACTCTAGAAAAGAAATACATTGTATTTAGGATAATACAGAGTCCCCTTTGAAGGATCCTAAGGCAAATGACAGTCAAGGTCTATAAAATGCTGTACTCATTGACCAATCCTGCCCGTGATCAAGAACTCAGTATGAGTCCCAGGTGGTTTATTGCTCTTACAAATGCTGCAGCTGCTGGAGTCATGAGATGAAGTGAGAAACTCAGTTTTTCTTTCTTTTTGACTATTTGGTCTTCATTGTGGCAGAGAAAAGTCTGAAAACGTAACCTTTTTATAACATAACGTAACATAACATAACGTAACCTAACGTAACATAACATAACGTCCTGCAGAGCTAGGGAGCAAATAAAAAAAGGCCGTGGAAGTAGTTAGTTACCTTTTCCTTTTTCAAAAGAAATCTCATAGTTTCTTTTTTTAACAGTAGCTCAGTCTTATTGATTTATGTATTCATTTATTACTGTTTGCAGCTGGTGGGGTGTAAACAATGACAGAGTTTAGGCCTTTTCTTATATCCCTTGAGTTGTTCCTCAAGCTGCTAGGCACAAGGGGAAGAACTAGTTAAAGATGCCTACAGAGCTGGCAGAGCGCAAGATGGGCACAAGTCCTCTCCTAGGCGTGAAGGGGATGGGGACAAAATGAGAACGCTTGAACCGAATCTTTATACCACACGAGGAGAGCTCTTCAATACAGGAAATAGCAGAGGAGTGCTCTTTGCCTTTATGATGGCAGAAGCAGCTCTGGAAATTATGTTCAGTGTCAATTCCCACTCCATGTTGGCCGTAAGAGAGTTGTCAAGGGTGTTCTGGGCAGTTCTGTTAGCCAGAGTCCTAGGAGTCGTAGACCTGTGTCCGTGTGAAGTTGGCTTTGAGAGACATCTCTGCTTCACCCCCAAGACAAAGCAGGGGACAAGAGGTGCCGGCTGTCACAGCAGAGGACACAGGGCAGCACTGCAAGTGGCTGCAGATTGCCTCAAGAGGCGATGGGACATTTAAGGGGTGCTAACAGTTGGCTCGACCCTTTGCCCATCCTTCCTCACTGCCATGTTAGAAGCCTTCCTCCTCCACCCACCTTCATCACCCAGCCAACCCAAACTGGCACTAGGAAACTGAGTTTTCTTCCATGCTATGACACAGTCACCTTAAAGGCTTTGCTGTGCCTCCCCTTCCCCGAGCTAATTCCATTACGCCTCCCACCATGCGACCTTCACATCTCATTTTTCTGACCATGAACCTGTTTCTCCCCGCTTCACCCATGTATTTACCCCCACGTTGAAATGGCAATAAGACTGGTGGAGAAAATGGACATTCTTGTGCTTGTTTGAACCAGAGGAAAAGCATTTTTCCTGTGCAGAATCCCTTCTCGAAAAATGCCTTTGTTGCTGTTGTTTGGTTTGTTGGATTTTTTTAATAAAACAGTTGAAAACTACAAGTTTTTATTTCAGTTAGAAATGAGTGCAATCCAGGTAGAAATGTTTTTGCTTGGGGGATTTTCTAAGCTAAAAAGAAATAGGAGAAGCTCAGAAGGAAGCGTGGAAGAAACAAAGCTCACATAACACGTCGCTATGAATCCCACTGAACCGGGATTTAAATATTGTTCATTTTCAATTGTTTCCTCAGAGAAGACGAGCCATTGTGAACAGTTATGACAAATGTGTTTATATTGTTTGATGGAAATCTTCTAGTCAGTACTAAAATATAATATTGTGGGGCAGGATGGGAGGAAAGCTGTACATTTATCTACGTCCTGAAAGCAACCACACACTTCAGGATTTACGTAGATACAGACATATTAGGATTTACTGGACAGTAGCCGTAGATCTTTAATTTAGGATGTCTAATGATCGTGTATCTAACAGTGTAAATGCAAGGGACAGCATTCCCCTGTTAGCGTCTGCATAGACCACAGCAATAGCTTCAGGATGAAACATCGCACTCGTCACTGTGATACCCTAAAGGGACGGCCGGGCATGGAAATGGAGACTACTATCTCACCCCTGCGTTCAGCAAAGGCGGCACGGGCAGGAGCTTTGTTTCCTCCGGGACCTAACCTGGACTCAACAAAAGCCCATTTTTGCTCCTCTTTGGAATTCATCCTTTCTCCAAGGCCCCAATTCCATATTGCTTTAAGAAAGAGGCTCACTTTGGTGTTGATTCTGAATGTCTCCCTAGGCTAGCTTTGGAGGCGGCTGTGTCATCTCAAACCTTTCAAGGAACCCACAAGGGCTTAATTAAAAACTAAACTTGGGCACTGTATTCAGATGAGACTGCCGGCTCCTCTGCTGACGGCAGCTCAAACTTGTCACTTTGCTCGTGTGCAGATCTGTGCTGTAAGGTAGGAAATTTCAGCTGAGAGACAGGCCCTGGGCTGGTGTGGGCTGAACCCCTCTACCATAATCCTCAGACTGGCAAGAGCAGGGTGGGGCGACAGCGCCATTGCAGTAAGGGCAGGGAGCAATCAATCGTTGAGACTTCATTAAAAGAAGCATTGAAGGCAGATGCTTGACAGAGCCAGTCTGTGGAGGTGATGCAGACCTGACTCCAATCACTAGTACTTCGGGAGAAGAAAATCTGCATTTCCTAATCATGCTGCTTTGGTCAGAAGTCTCTTGTTGTCAGTACCGTTCTGGGTATTTGCATGTTTTGCAGAAAAATGTAATATTAACCATTGCCTCCCACCTCTGAAGAGTCAGTGGAGACATAAAAAGGAGTAACTTGAGAAAGAGAGAGAGTTTTTGGGAGGTGTAAGAGATTCAGAGGAACGTGAAGTCGGAGGATGGCTTAAAGGCATAGAAGATACAACATGTTAGCACAAAAATAGTTTGTGATTCCCAGCTAGGCCCAAAACCAGGGGTTGAAAGAGAGGCATATTTGTGCAATAGGTTTACTCCTGTGTGTATGTGTACATGCCGTGTAAGGGGTGCATGTGTTGTGGCCTGTGTCGTCCTCCTGCAGGCATCTGTTGTGTGGGTGCAGAGCTAGGCGCGTGGCGTACATCTGTGCTCTTTTTGCATGCAGATGGCACGGCTGTTTGCACAGCGGGAGCAGTTACCCTGTGGAAGAGGTGGTTGGTGCCAATGTCCTGGAAGAGGGAGAGCAGTTGAGGGGCTGTGCTCTCACGGTACTCGTCCCCGAATAGCTTGTGAACTGGCTTTTCTTCCTGGCCCCGGGACTGGAGACCCCACTGATTTTCCTCTTCAGGCTTCTTCTGTCCCTGATACAGGCCGTGGGGAAAGGCCCCTTACACGGCTTGCTCTTCCCGAGCTGAGCCTTTCCAGGCACTGCTTCCTTGTGTTCCCATGGGAAGTATTTCCCCAACACTTTGGATTCATTTCACTTTTGCGTTCAAAATCCAGGCACTTATCTCCCTTTTGCCTGGCCCATAACCAAGCCAGATCCCTTCTGGCACACCAAGAAATTGGTCTTGTACTGCAGCCTAGAAGAAAAGAGATCAACATTCAGATCTGTCCAGGTTGGGAAGCAGAAGGCAAAAGGGACCGCAAGTGAGAGCAAAGAGGTACCTCCACACGTCCTGGAGACCGTGGTGATGTTGGTCCCTCCCATGGCCCCATAAAACCCCTGGATCTCTGCTATGCAGAAGGCTCCTTCTCCTTGTTCCTAGGAGCGTGTGTGCAACGCTATCCGCACTGGCAAGGCTTTTATTTGCAAAGTCTGGAGCCTGTGGAGCAGTGGCAAAAGACACTGAGCTAAGTGCAAAGTGACCGCTAAATTTAGACTGTCTGTGGGAGGAAGTGAGGGAAAAAAAAGCCTAGGCAAAAACCCTTGTGAAAAAACTGCCATCCTTAAAATGAGAGCGAGAACGAGAGAAGAGAGAGAAAGAGAAGGAAATAGCAAGGCAGAGAAAATAAAGTGAGAGTTTAATTTACTCCCTCGAAAAGCTGATATGTACCAGAGGAGCTTTTGGGCAACCGATCTCAACTTTTCCATTTTGCAGCAGCCCCAACCCGTGCCCATAGCCGGAGCAGGGTGCCACGTTGTACCGAGTCGCCCGTGGGCGATGCTGTGGGAGCTGCTGGTGTGAGCCCGCAGTGCTGGCGCTGTCTAGCGCTGACGCCGATGTCCGCCAGGGAGGAAGGTCCTCATGAGAGCATGCTCCGTCACAGGGACACCCACACTGGCAAACTCGTTCTAGAATTAATTGGGACCGAGAACGGTCATTGAGAGGCAGGTTGCAGAGCTGTTGACAGCAGATGCAACGTGCGGATCCCCTACAAATGCAGGGCGGCGGCGTGGCGATGGCGGTAGGAAGCAGAAGGCAATGTGCGTGAGGAGTCTGGGTAGGCAGAATAACTGATTTTCTCTTCTCCGGTGCTCCACCGCACTGCTTGAGCCTGGGGTCCTCGGGAGGTGCTGTAAGACCTGATCCCAGCAAGAGGTTACCAGCAGTTTGCAAATCCCACAACCATTTGCATAGAGATGTAGCTCTAGGGAAGTATTTTCCTATATTCTTCCTATGTTGAATGGCAGAAACTAGACTGGACTGTGCAGCAGCCTGAGAAAGGCCGTGGTGATGTCCAAAACTGTGTCCTGGTAAACGTGCTGAACAAACTGCATCTCTACAGCAGGAAGCAAGAGGTTACCAGCAGTTTGCAAATCCCACAACCATTTGCATAGAGATGTAGCTCTAGGGAAGTATTTTCCTATATTCTTCCTATGTTGAATGGCAGAAACTAGACTGGACTGTGCAGCAGCCTGAGAAAGGCCGTGGTGATGTCCAAAACTGTGTCCTGGTAAACGTGCTGAACAAACTGCATCTCTACAGCAGGAAAATTAGCGGTTCTCCAGGACAGACCCCGTCCTGCCCAGGCACCCCGAGCCAGATGGGCCA